AAAAAAAAAAAAAAGAGCAAGATAATATAACTAACTAAAATATTCTAATCTTAGTTGATAGTAATAAATTTTATGGTGATAATAACATGTAGAGTTTTAAATTAATCAGTAATGCCTCTCATGCATGATAATATTAACTATTTTCTAAGTTTTCCAATGTCTAATAATATACTAGTATATATATATGTAGTAAACTTAGTCTAAGGCTGTCACATTAATTTATTTCATTATCAAGTAAATAATTTTGAATATATAAACCTTTCCACATTATGGCCCAGTTTTTTTACACACACACACACACACATATACATACATCATATATACATACATATATATATATATTATATTGCAAATTATGAGTATATTTTTGTTACTAATTTCAGTAGACATATATAAAATTTGTTTTTTGTTTGACTATGCATAGAAGGTTCCACCTCTAAAATACTTAATATATACATTATGTAATATACCATCTTGTTCATAATATATGTCGTTTTGAAAAGTTGCAGAATAATTAAATTTTTTTAGCCAATAATAACCCCCATTAATGAAAATAAAGATAGATGTTTTGAGAAAATATTACTGTAAAAGCAAATATGGAAATGCGTAGTGTATTTATTAGCTAAATGAGAGTACTAATGAAAAAATATGCACAAAATATAAAAAAAAAAAAAGTCATTTATTTAGTTAATGGTTGATAAAACTAAAATGACATTAAAAAAGAATAAGTGGGAGTATAAAACATTCACTAAAGATATTTTATAGAAATTCACCGTCATGTTTTATTTTCTTCCTTCTATTTCAGTTTTTGTCTGAAACTAATATCCATTTAAAAAAATGAATTATATATATATATATATATATATATATATATTTTGAAAAACGCGATAGCTCGTTTTGTATATAACATATCAAATTTATCTTTTGATGATATTTGATTTGACTCTCATATAGCATATATAAAATTAAAGATAATTATTTATATATACATGAAACAACATTTAAATTATCAATCAACTCCGACTCAAATATAATGAATGGGATTAAATTTATCTAACACATTATAAATATATTAAAAAATAATTATTTACAATAAAGTAATGTAAATTGGTAGTTGCTATCTGTTCCACATAATTTTAATAAATAATATATTTATAAAGATAAATGTAATAATTACTCTAGATATATATTTATTGGCTTGAGAAAAATAAAAAAAATATTGAACATAATTAAGTCAATAATTTATCATTACTTGTAATCAAGTGTATATAGTAGGTTTATTTCATACAATTTATTTATTATACTTTTACTACCTACTTTATTATATAATAAACACAATTATGGAAAATTGACTACTTTAGATGACATGTGGCAGTTAATGTAAAAAAACAAATAGAGGTGAGAATCAAACTTTTTTGATTTGTAAAAGTTAAGTAAATAAATTTGTATTTGTGTTAGTGAAGTAATTAAATATAAATAAAAATATTTAAATATATTCCCCAAATCAAATATAATAGTTACTTAATTTGATAAAATAAATGGATGTGAGGCAGTATTAATATATATGTCATTTTCTTAATATTTTTCACGCGTACCCTTTACATATGTCTGAGTATGCGTATTTGTTTTCTTCTCCTCTCCTCCTCACATTAAAATCTCATCCAAACCAAACTCCTTCACATGGATTTTGATGCCTCTTCCTCCCTTCTCGCCGCAGCTCCGACCGCCGGAAAATCCTCGCTTCACGGCGACTGACGTCATCTCCCCGGCCGGTTCTTGGTTTCCCGGCTCGGCGGCGCCGCCCCACTTATCCCTTCCTAAAGCCCCCCACTCGACTTAATCGAAGGTGGTCCTCTGTGTCTTTTTAACTTTACTCTTTCTTAAAGGTGATACTTTTCTTGAAAATTTGTTCGTCCAATTTAAATATTCTGACTGTATGCTGTGGTAATGGATTGGGTTTTATGGGAATCTTGTAATGAAGAGCAGAGAAAGTGCAGCAGCTTTAATTTATCTTTTTTTTTTTCCTTTTTATTTTGGTGGGTTTAATTTAACAAATGAATATTGGAATATTCAAGACTTGATTTTTTTCACTGAATCATATTAGTTTGTATTTGTTGGAATTCCATGTAAGATTCTAGAGATTCTTTATGTTTTCTTTAATAATCCTTTATAGATTGATCTTTGTTATGCCTCAATATCTATGTTTTTGTGGACACTTTTCAGCTTTTTCTGAGTCAGATCACATCTTAAATTGCACCATTACTTTTATCCCTTTCTGTATAAGCTTCATGTGCCCGTGCCCCGTATAGTTTGTTCCATCATAGTTAGATCGAAAACGGGCTGCTTTTTGTTCATGCGTTCTGTTCTTTTCGGCAATTGTTCGACTATTTTTAAGCATATAAAGGCGTTTGCTTTTTAAAAAACTTGTGTAGGTTTCTAGCTATAGAGCTATGGGCCATTTATCTTCGATGTTCAATGGGCTCGCGAGGTCTCTCTCGATGAAGATAAGTAAAAATTTGAAGAACAATTGTGAGACTTATGATTCAAGGGATGTTGTTGAGTCGATGGCTAAGGATGCGAAGAAAAACGATTTGATATTGAAGAACTCGGGCATTATCGATGTCGATGGGTCGAATAATTTAGCGTCCGTTTTCTCAAAGAGAGGAGAAAAAGGCGTTAATCAAGATTGCTGCATAGTTTGGGAGGTATATATCTACGCGTGTGTGTATGATCGAACAATTTATTTATTATGGGAGTATCTGCAACACTAAAAAAAGGGGTTTTTTCTTTGCTCTTTCTTTTAGTCTTTAGTTATTCTATTTGTTTATGTTGTTTTTTCGTTTAAGTAGGTATTGCATTTTGGCATTTCAAAATGTGATTTGATGTCCATTGCCTCATTTACATCCTCGAGCATTTTTTAATTTTCCCCTTTATGAAAAAAAAATGCCATTCTATATATATATATATATATATATATAATAGAATGTACATTCTTGATCGAATTAGTTCGACAATTTAGCACTTAATGGAATTTCGATTATTTTTTACTGAATGACATGAAATTTTATAAAACTTTTAACGGAGGAAAGAAAAGAGAATTTTCGACTTAAATTGAAAGTTGCGAACAGATCAAAATGGAAAGGAGTATTTTAGATTGATATCTTGTTACTTTAGTCCATTAGTTCTTTCATTTAGTTGTCTTCTTAATTTTTGTTTTGCCACCTAAAGTGATAATTTTCTCCGATTCTTTAATGGATTTTAGGAATTCGGATGCCAAGAAGACATGATTTTTTGCGGGATATTTGATGGGCACGGCCCATGGGGACATTTTGTAGCAAAAAACGTTCGAAAATCCATGCCTTCATCTCTACTTTGCAATTGGCAAGAAACTCTTGCAGAGGCCTCTTCTGATCCCGATTTCGATTGGGATTCGGAGAAAAAAAGCAACAGGCTCGATATATGGAAGCACTCGTATTTGAAGACTTGTGCAGCTGTTGATCAGGAGCTCGAGCAGCACCGAAAAATCGATGCTTTCAACAGTGGGACCACTGCTTTGACTATTGTTAGACAGGTAATTTATATATATTATTGTTATTATTATTATTATGGATATCCGAGTCTAGTTTATGATCGAAACGCTGTAACTTGTAATGCTGACCAAGTAAAGTTTAAATTAGCTTATTTAATGAGAAATTATAGGTACGGCAGGCCTTTTTTTTTTTACTTTAACATATTAATTAGGCTTCTTTTATTCAACATAAGGATCTCTAGTACTTAGATATGAATTGATTGTTTTCCATAGAGTTCTTTGACTTTAGGGGCATGCCTTGTGTTATTTCTTTTTTTATTTAATTTGTGGGTCATTTTTAGACATTTTCTTATTGAAGTTTTGTGGCTTAATCAGAGCCCATTAAACTCTCAGTTTTACCCCTACTTTGATCCCACTTATCAGCACAAGTAGAAGTAATTTACGCTCGTCATATGTTATGGTTGTGTAGAAAATCATCCAAAAAGCAGAATCAGTTTCAATAAATAAAAAAAAAAAAAGGAAAAACTCGAAAAGATCAGAATTTGCTTTGGGACTATGAAATACGAGGCATCATATTAATTATAAACTTTTTACGTAAGTTTAGACACTAAAACATGTTGCATTTTTCGAGCCTACATATAACTAATGCGTCGTGTTAGCTTTATCTTGTGTTCTCATTTGTTTTTCCTTTTCTCATTATTATTATTACTTATTGTTATCCTGCTAAAGTTATGTTGAAACTCAAGACCATTCAAGGGTGAAAGGTCCTCATATCTCAG